AAGTTCATTAACTGAGCATCAAGTGAATGACGACAAATACACAAATGTAGGGTTATACCAGAAAACGAGGATGACAACAAGGGAGTACTAGTCGTATTATCCACGCAAACCGAAATCCGAAAATACTCTCACTGCAGGGACACTTTTTTTTATTATTAAACAATAACAATTAGGGGTAATTCCAAATGACGACATCCCATGAGTTTCCGCCGTTCTGTTTGTCTGTTTGTTAAGGCTGAAGAAATTAATTAACATGTGCCTATTGCCTCCAAGTTTATTTACGCTGTCTTTAAAGGCGGTAGCCCAGTCTCTTGTCATGCTCAGTTGCGTAAGCAAGCAAATCGACACACGGCAGCTAGTGAGCCCCAGCGGACAGTGTCAGACAGCCAAGAATCCAGAGATTAGTGCCCCTTTAACCTAGGCATGATGTCTGTTGATCAATCCTGTTTTCGTTTTTGAAAATAAATACCGTTTAGACTATTTCTGTAAGAGCCTCATATAATATGAGGTGCCTCGGCAATGGTCTGTAATTGATACCAGAGAAATCTATGGCCAATTCTCTACCTGTGAGTTTAGTGCTTGTAGCAATATTCCAGACCTACAAGTCAGATAACAGGCTTAGGAGTGTCAATAGCATGGCTAAAATAGAAGCATCTTCTGACGATTTGTGAAATGTAAAGACAGTGAGACATGTACTTTACACAAGTATACTGGACAGACAAGGGAAAGGATGGATATAGGAGCATGCTCAATAAACCAACTGTGAATGTTTCTTTTTGCTTTGAGACATTCTTCTCATTGGCACACTTAAAGGGCAAGTAAACTGAACATAGCAACTTTGCAGATTTTATACCCTAGGGCATGCCTAATCACAGTCCTAGACCCAAATCAAATTTGAAAATCGGAAAAGCATAAAGCAGACACAAGGCTAAATTGTCACCATCAAAAAACATCCGCCACTGGGGTTAAAACTGGTTTCCCCTTGTTTGTTGTGCTGCCTAATTTCAACGATCGAGCAGGCTCCCAGACTGTCTGCTTCTGCCTCGGGTTTTTTAATCACATTACCAGGGTTTTTCTGTCTGTCCATATGTTTGATGACAGTGTTCACAACGTATGCCAAGATTTAGTAACAACATAGAAGAGACCTTCAGTTATCTACTCAGGGGATTAATCTCTGACTGTAGGGCTGGGACGGGTAACTCGGCTACCAGGGTCGGGTGGGTACTGAGTAGGACACGGGTACCCACACGACTAACTGGAACCGTGGTTAGTCACGTGATATATTGTTTAATGACAAAAAGTATCTAGAACTCTATGGTTACACTACAAGTCACTAATGTTTGCATTTCTTTCTGAGACCCCTTCCTTCTGATTTTTCATATGGTTGAACTTAATTCAACTTCAGTGTATGAATGACCAGATTGTTTAATACATGTATCTAAATATGTTTTGCCAGGGCTATGATAAAAATGTTCCCAATCAGACATTTTGAGACATCTCCTGAGACCTACAGTGGGTACCCGGGTAGGGTCGGGTAATAGGGGGTTGGGCACCCGGGTAGTATATTTGGATGCATGTCATCGATCCCAATGATGTGGGTCGATGCTCATGATATCAATCACTGGATTGTCTTGTCCATACTCGATTATTTACAGACCGCTGTCATATAGCTGGAATATTGCTGAGTGTGGCATTAAACAACAAGCACACACACACACATGTTGAAAACATGGAAAAGTTTCTTTATTTTGAGGAACACAACATTTCAGAGTATACACTTACTCCTTCATTAGGGAACATATATATGTACCTGTAAGAATAGTAATAGTAATAAGATGGCAAAGCTGGCTTCCATTCATCTGTTGCCATTTGTATTGCTATTTATACCTATCAGTGCTAATTACCCCCTGGCTCCCCTTTACCCATTGCCTATTACCAATAAGTGATACCGTATTCGACGTAATAAGCGCCCAGGGCGCTCTCAAAATTAGAAATAGGGGGATCTTATTAGAATATTATTTTGAGTTGAAAGATCGTAAATTTCATGGTTTATGCTGACAGCCTGAAATGTTTATATACGACAGATATATTTTTCCAGGATTTAATTGCCCATAATGAGGGGTGAATAAAACATACGAGTGGGTATTATACACAAATGAATAAGTCTTGTGTACATTAATCAATTGGAAGGGATGCTAATTGAGATTGTTCACTAGCCAATATATTAGCAAATATCGCCATGGGCGCTTATTAGAGCAGGGCGCTTATTACGTCGAATACGGTAAGTCCTGGCTTCCATTTGTCCATAGCTATCACCTATCAGCGCCAATCAACTGTGGGCGCTTATTAGAGCAGGGCGCTTATTACGTCGAATACGGTAAGTCCTGGCTTCCATTTGTCCATAGCTATCACCTATCAGCGCCAATCAACTGTGGGCACTTATTAGAGCAGGGCGCTTATTACGTCGAATACGGTAAGTCCTGGCTTCCATTTGTCCATAGCTATCACCTATCAGCGCCAATCAACTGTTGGCTTCCCTTGTTATTTCCACCGTTGTTATGTTATTACTTTAGATGTGCTTACATGTATATGACTTATATATGTTAAGCATTAATTCGCCTGATGAAGGAGTAAGTATATACTCTGAAACAGTGTGTTCCTCATAATAAAGAAGTTGACATCCATAAATTCTCTTTCTTATGTGTATCACTTTTGAGTTATCACCCTTACTCTAACTGCATTGGATGTAACCTCAACATATATTTTGCTTCAAGGCCATAACAGTGACGTATGAACCTCCAGTGATGTCGCCCTACTGTTCCCCATTTGGGGTAAATGTTGATCTTACAATGTTCCAGGGGCGGTCGGGTAGCCTAGTGGTTAAAGCTTTCGCTTGGGATCGATTCCCGTGTGAAGCCCATTTCTGGTGTCCGTCACCATGATATTACTGGAATATTGCTAAAAGCGGTGTAAAACCAAACTCACTCATGCACTACAATATTCCAGTTTTTGTATTTATAAGTTCTAGTGATATTGTAATGTGTGAATGACCCTCGCTAGGGATTTTGGGGCGGTCGGGTAGCCTTATGGTTAAAGCGTTCGCTCGTCATGCCGAAGACCCAGATTTGATTCCCGACATGGGTACAATGTGTGAAGCCCATTTCTGGTGTCCCCTGCCGTGATATTGCTGGAATATTGCTAAAAGCAGTGTAAAACCATACTCACTCAGTCGCTAGGGATTTGTTGTGGATTTGAACACATTCTGAAATGAATGAAATAATATGAAAGGACAAATGTTTTCTTTACACTTCAGTGGATCCAATCTTCAACCTCCGTATCTGTTGTGTAGTGAGTGAACAGCCATGCTACAGAGCCACTGATGAAGCACAGTGCCTTTAAGAATATCTTCTTCAAGTACACGTACACAAGCAAGAGATATTTTACACCTGTGTCATAGTACTGGGACAAAACACCGATGCATTGGTGGATCGTGATTTTTTACTTCTCGATACAAGTATCGATCACAGTCACACACGAAGTTAAAAATATATCAATTCTTACCTCAAAGGTTTGGTTTTATAACTGTTACACCAAACACTGAAGTACTGAAGCTTGAGGTGAAAACGTAAATATTTTCATCCATTGTGCCATACTTGACACTGCCAACTGTAAATTGTCAGTGTGACAAGGCATTTGGCCATCCTGTCTATGAAAAAGATTGCTTACACACCACAGATAACAGCACATGCAAGTATCGTGATTCGTATCGAATCATGAACATGATATCATGATACGTATCGGATTGTACAGTTGGTGTATCGTCCAAGCCTGAATGTTTCCTAAGGTTCACAGAAAGTATGTTTAAAACATATATATTTCAATTTTTCATTTGTTTGTAAATATGATAAAACACTTCCCCTCAGATTCTTTTTAGTTTAAAACCTTCTGATGAGGGTTTTAAATGTCATTAAATCCCTTGGACATGTCTTATGACACACATTAACGAAGGAAGACATGTACTAACTTACAGTGTCAGAGGCTTCAGAATTGGTCCCTTTAGTCTCATAAGAGCCGACTAAACATAAAGATTGGGAACCTGTTAACACAGCTTGCTACAAACTGGCTGTCAGCAGGGCATTGTATAAGGGCCAGGCAATTCATATTTCTTGGTTTTGTAAAAAAATCATCGGCTGCAAAATAAATAAATATGAAAATAAAATAGATAAAAAATACAGATTTAGATGCTTTTTCTTCTTCAGAAAGTTATGTGAATATGTTGCCATGTGGACAGTATTAGTTACGCTTGTCTCATAGTTCATCTATTGTCAAGCAGTTTAACTTAGTCTATGCATTTTATTCTGTTGAATATAATAATTTGCCTTTGCAGAATAAATATAAAAGAGCATACCGGTACACATTTCTGTTTTTTTCTCAATATTTATGTCTCTTTGCCATGTTAGAGTCTGCAGAATCCTTAACCAAAATATGCTTGTACAGTGTTGGTTGTTGTTAATGCCATTATTCACTCTTAACTCATCCAGACACAATTACTTGCCATGTATTATCAATAACTGCAAATAAAACATCAATCGCTCTCCTACTCCAAACCACCAGTAATCCATACAAATTTACCCATTTAACAACTTTGTTCTCACATCAAATCTAATGAAAGTTGGATCCCTTGACACAGACACATCAGTTCAGGAACCTAAAACCTCATAATTTCCTGACCAAATCAAAAACCTTTCAATTTTTTTTCCTGAATCTCCTATCTAGCCTGGTAGTGCCAGTCAGATTCCTTGCGGAACAGTCTGGAAGCCGACGCTTGTATGTTTTTCAAAGGAGATATGAGAGATATATGGATCAAAGAGGTAACACAGAAGAAAGTGTGATCCTCGTCTAGACAGCTGGACAGAATAATGTAATGTTTTATAGCCAGGAATTAATTAGTCCTCCTAGGTTGGCTATAATTTCTGTTCTTGTGTTTTCCATGGCTATAGAGGATCCGCATGGCGACCAGGCCTTGATGATGACAAGGAAAATGTATGATCGTGTCGGAGGATTTGACCCTGTTCTGTTAATGGAGGACTACATGCTTGTGAGTTGTGGGAATGGTGGGAGTAGTTTATTGGAAGCTTTTTTTAATATGACAAAGTATGTTTTGTTTTCATTGGCAGATGCATCTCCCCTAACTTTTTTTAGGTTAAAGAAATACTGAAAGAAAGGTTACAAATTTACTCAAAATCTTTTTCCCCCCATACATATAAGTCCTGTGGGAACCAGGCATACAGCAGCTATCTCCACTCTGTGGCTGGTTGTCAGCCTAGGAGGCTTCAGGACGGGGGCGAGTGGTCAGGCTTGGTGCCTTGGTGTACTGCATGTCATCGTTCCCCAACTACATGAGACATGGCTCATCCACCACTAGTTTGTCTGGCCAGACTTGATCATGAACAGGGGACTGTGATATAGCTGGACTATTGCTGACTTAACATTTAACAAACAGTTAACGAATAACTAACACACAACATACTGTCTGTTCATGAATATATCCTCTGTTGTTGTGTTACTGTGATCTTGTGTTGTTTTGTTGTGTTACTGTGATGGCTTGTTGTGTTACTGTGATGGCTTGTTGTGTTACTATGATGGCTTGTTGTGTTATGATGGCTTGTTGTGTTACTGTGATGGCTTGTTGTGTTACTATGATGGCTTGTTGTGTTACTGTGATGGCTTGTGTTACTGTGATGGCTTGTTGTGTTACTGTGATGGCTTGTTGTGTTACTATGATGGCTTGTTGTGTGACTATGATGGCTTGTTGTGTTACTGTGATGGCTTGTTGTGTTACTGTGATGGCTTGTTGTGTTACTATGATGGCTTGTTGTGTTACTATGATGGCTTGTTATGTTACTATGATGGCTTGTTGTGTTACTGTGATGGCTTGTTGTGTTACTGTGATGGCTTGTTGTGTTACTATGATGGCTTGTTGTGTTACTATGATGGCTTGTTATGTTACTATGATGGCTTGTTGTGTTACTATGATGGCTTGTTATGTTACTATGATGGCTTGTTGTGTTACTATGATGGCTTGTTATGTTACTATGATGGTTTGTTGTTTGTTTGTGCAGGTAAGGAAGCTACACAAGATGGGTCATGTTGTAACGTTGCCACAGTCCGTCATCACATCATCACGCAGATTTGAAACCAAGGGTGTCTTTAAGGTGAGAAAGGTTTTTAAAAATGACCAAAGAATCAATATATTTGATAGTTGTTAACTTGCAATGTGAACATATGGGAGATGAAGCTCTATTTCTGTCTTCAATCTTTTTCAGACTACGTTTATAAACAGATCAGTGATCATGCTGTACAACCTGGGTGTGGACCCAGACACTCTGGCACAGCTATATTATGGGAAGAAGTTGAAGAAGGAGTGATGGAAACTGCCAGTACTAGTCATTTGTTATAGGAGTAGGTGGGTTGGATGGAGTCGAGGGAAGATGGGTGGGTTGGAGAGAGTGAAGGTGGTATGGGTGGGTCGGAGAGAGTGAAGGTAGTCTTGGGTGGGGCAGAGAGAGTTGAGTGAAGATGGGTGGGCCGGAGAGAGTCGATGGTGGATGGGTGGGTCGGGGCGAGTTGAGGTAGGATGGGTGGGTCAGAGAGAGTTGACAGAAGATTGGTGGCCTAGAGAGAGTTTAGGGAGGATGAGTCGGTCAGAGAGAGTCAATGGAGGATGGATGGGTCGGAGAGAGTTTAGGTAGAATGGGTGGGTTGGAGGGAGTTGAGGTAGGATGGATGGCATGGAGAGAGTCAGGGGAGAATGGGTGGGTCGGAGAGAGTCGAGGGTGGATGGATGGGTCAGAGAGAGTCGAGGGTGGATTGATGGGCCAGAATGAATTGAGGGAGGGTTGGTGTGTTTGGAGAGAGTCAATGGAAGATAGATTGGTATAAAAAAGTCCAGAGAGGATGGGTGGGTCATGAATGTTGCACAATTGTGTGATGGGTCTTGAAAAAGAGATTCACTTTGTAATTTGTATGAAAATATACCTATTCTGAAATTCATGAGGGTCATGAAAAAACTGAAAAGAAATCTGGATGGAGGCTTAGAGGATGGCAGAAAAAACTGAGAAGTGTCATATTTTTGATACACTCTTTGAAAAAACCCCATCTGCACCCAATATTCTCACTCCCTTTACACTGTCCCACCCAGTTACTGTGTATATAGTTCTCACAGGCAGTGGAGTGTATCAGGAACACATAGCAAATTTGGTGTTGTAAATATCATGCATTACTTCCAAATATGATCTCTTTCAGGGACATGTGTTGGACTCAGAACTACAGCCATTCTTTGAGGCAGGTTGTCTAGTCTTTGTCATTCACACTGTGATGTCATAGCTGAAATGATGTCATTTGCACTGAGATGTCATTACTGAGATGATGTCAATTGCACTGTGATGTCATAGCTGAGATTATGTCATTTGCATTGTGATGTCATTACTGAGATGATGTTATTTGCACTGTGATGTCATTACTGAGATGATGTTATTTTCACTGTGATGTCATTACTGAGATGATGTCATTTGCACTGTGATGTCATCAGATAAATGCCATGTTTTCTGCTTTAAATTGTGTCACCCTTAGTCATTCTTTGACTCAGTGTTATGCACTTAAGGTAAGGGGTTGGGATATTTGAGCTAACACTTCAATTTTAGGGTTAGGATAGTGATATGTATGCAAACACTTTTGTTGTAAGCTTAGGGATGGAATATTGTTATTTCAAGGTTAGGGGTGGGATATTAATGCAAACACTTTTATTGTAAAACAAAGGTCGGGGATATTTTCCTTATTCGCCTTATGAAGCACTCCAATTTCTAGACCATTCTGTAAGAAATCTTTATAAGCACCCAGTACTGAGCCGAAAGTGTATGTGACCATCAGTATTTTCCTGTATATATTTTAGATTTATTTCAGAAAACACAGCAGTGTAGAAGGGATATATATTTACCCAGGAACTATTATCAGAAAAGTTTTAATTTTGATCTAAGTTTATTCGCTACTTGTTGATATCTGAAAACAAATTTAACTCTTTGTGTTTGGTTTTAATGAGCATCACACTTTGTTGATTTGTAAGTTCCTGGGGTGCTTATTACAGCAAATACGGTATGGGAAATCTAAGTTCTTCAATGATCATCAAGTTTGTGGTCATTTCGAGATGTTTCAGCAAATGCACCTACAAACAAAAATATTCTCTTCCAAGGCAAGTAAACATTTATTTACTTTTTCTTTAGAAGGAATGTAATGTGATGTGATGTTATGCTATCACATCTGATGAAGGTAACAGAAACAGACATAAAATATTCAGAAAAGCATTCCTTAATTATTACCTGAATAGCTTCTTCCCATATGACAGTGTGGTAATGTCAGTGGCTTGACATTTAGAAGGTTCACAATTTGTATCCCAAACAGAAAACTGTCACTTTCACCAGGGTGTATCACTTGACTTCGATTTCAGTTCATATGCAGTTGTGTATAATCATTTATTAGAATGACAAGATGAGAATGTGTAGGTGTAAACCCTGCTGTTGTTAGTGAAAGTGTAGAGGTCGATACACCTTCAGTTATAAGTGAAAGTTTAGAGGTCAATACACCTATAGTTATGAGTGAAAGTGTAGAGGTCAATACACATACAGTTGATAGTGAAAGTGTAAAGGTCAATACATCTACAGTTGATAGTGAAAGTGTAGAGGTCAATACACCTACAGTTGATAGTGAAAGTGTAGAGGTCAATACACATACAGTTGATTGTGAAAGTGTAAAGGCCAATACATCTACAGTTGATAGTGAAAGTATAGAGGTCAATACACCTACAGTTGATAGTGAAAGTGTAAAGGTCAATACATCTACAGTTGATAGTGAAAGTGTAAAGGTCAATACACATACAGTTGACAGTGAAAGTATAGTTATGAGTGAAAGTGTTGAGGTCAATACACCTACAGTTGATAGTGAAAGTGTAAAGGTCAATACACATACAGTTGATAGTGAAAGTGTAGAGGTCAATACACCTACAGTTGATAGTGAAAGTGTAAAGGTCAATACACATACAGTTGATAGTGAAAGTGTAGAGGTCAATACACCTACAGTTGATAGTGAAAGTGTAGAGGTCAATACACATACAGTTGACAGTGAAAGTGTAGAGGTCAATACATCTACAGTTGATAGGGAAAGTATAGAGGTCAATACACCTACAGTTGATAGTGAAAGTGTAGAGGTCAATACACCTACAGTTGATAGTGAAAGTGTAGAGGTCAATACACCTACAGTTGACAGTGAAAGTATAGAGGTCAATACACCTACAGTTGACAGTGAAAGTATAGAGGTCAATACTGTGACCTACAGTTGACAGTGAAAGTATAAAGGTCAATACACCTACAGTTGACAGTGAAACTATAGAGGTCAATACACCTACAGTTGACAGGGAAAGTATAGAGGTCAATACACCTACAATGTGTACAAAGTGTTCAATGCACCTACAGTTAAGACTTAAGAAAGCAGGTCAAGACTGGAAGTGGTTTATTAAGCTACGGATCTGAGAATCTGCTGTTGGAGTCAAATATGTTTTGTAGGTTGATTCATGGACACTAAATACAATATATTTAGGGTCCATGGTTGAATGTTTGAATTCAGGGATTAATTATTATTGGTCTCAATCTGTGGAGTTATGTTTCTTTCCAAAAACTCAAAAGTACCATAATTTTCACCAGGATATTTAAATGTCTTCAATAATAGACAAGTTCATCTAGTCAGTAGTAGTCAGTATTATTCAAGTATTATACAACGGGTGCTCCTTAGAGTAAATAAAGTAGCCCAGATCACGTTTGTTGTACACAGACCTGTCAATATATCAAACAGAAAGTCCAATCATTGTTTACATAGGTCACATGCAGGATGTCAGTGTGAAATATGTGTAAATTGCAGCCATTGTGATAAAGAAGTTATACTGTATTCAACGTAATAATCGCCCAGGGCCCTCTCAAAATTAGAAATAGGGGGCTCTTATTGGAATATAATTTTGGTGAACGAGTTGAAATATCGTAAATTTTGTGGTTTATGCTGACAGCCTGAAATGATACAAAAGAAAAGTTGTAATATACATGACAGATATATTTTTCCAGAATTTAATTGCCTGTAATTAAGGGTGCATATAACACACAAGTGCGTATTATACAGGAATAGATTTGTGTACATTGATCAATCGGAAGGGTGCTAATTGGGATTGTTCACTAGCCAATATAGTAGCAAATATTGCCATGGGCGCTTATAAGAGAGGGGTGCTTATTACGTCAAATACGGTAATTGCAATTCTGTGATTAGTTCTCATTGAGAATGATAGTTTGTAAAGAAGTAGATATGATATGATGTATGTATAATATATTAAGGCCAGTGATGTGGAATTGGTCAGATGTTAGGTGTTAGGAGACAGGGCCTTAAGTTTTTTTAGTTGGTTTAAAAATAAATACAATCACTTTGGACCTTCCATTTTCTGTGGCCAACTGTTTTACAATTAGATGAAAGGAAAAGCACGCAATATTTCACCATGCTGTTCGCCGAAATGGTGAATAATATTTATCGAAATCTTTATTAAAAACAACTGATTACCTTGCGGTATCTTGCCATGTTAAGACTGAAGTCATTAGAGCTGAACTAAATTTAATATGGATGTTGCATTTTTCAAAAAGTTGACCACTTACATTGTACAATCTACAATTTTGGGCCAAATGTTTGTGAAACATCTAAAAAAAATAAAAGGCCAAAGGTCTTCCCCTTTCTCCTTCAATATAGGAGTAGACAGAACATAAGGTTTGATATTTGAACCATAATATGTCGGTACAAGTTATTCAATCACTGTAGAAATATTATTGAACATCAGATGTAAGGCCTTCCTTATTTAAAGATATTGGATCAAAAAGCTGTTTGTGGAAAAAAATCGAAAAAAAATCCCAATAAAAGTGCCATATTTAGAAAGAAAGCAGTGCTTTCCCAGTATTGCTTCAAAGTTATCACAGAGATCTTATCTGCTTTTATTGATGTCCGTGATCAGGTTCTAAAATAGCTGGCATGGCACTGACGTCCAAACACCACCACAAGGATTTAGAATGACATAGGTCTCAATTCCCACAACATGGAACCAGGATGTGTCACAAACTGGTTTTTATTATCAAAGGCGGAAATGTAATTTAATTTTCACATCCACCTGATTTATACGCAAAAAGGTTGAAAAAACCCCAATGTAATATGAGGTCACCTTATTGACATCTGTTTTGAGTGGACCTGATGAGGCTGGTCATATGATTTAAAAAAGAAGAGAATAAAATGTTTGTATGATCTTAATATAGTTTTTTGTTGTTGTCTCTTTCTGCATAAATATTCTATTATCACTTGCAATTTCGCAATGAGGATTGTCACAGAATTTTGCATTTTTGACACAATTTCTTTGACAGAAAATAATTGGCAAAGTCTCCTGACATTGATGCATAACAGTGTGTTAAAAATGCTCTTATGATGCATTATTCTGCCATTTTACGACACTAACAGTCTGTGATTTGGTGTGTAATGTAATTATGATGTGTTTCACTGTGGGGCTTGAAGCTTTATTTTAAATCATTGAAACTTGATGAACTCATATTCCATATTTCAAATACTTAAACCCCATGCATTACACGGCCTGATGTCGTTCAATTTTCTTTTTGATTTGTTTGCTATTAAATCAAAATTGTATAGTTTACCAAGTGTGACCTGCAATACTAAGGGGCAATTTAGGGGGAAAATTCATCTGCATATAGGAATTGAAAAAAAACCCCAGGTAAACTTGATATACTTGATGCATCAGTAAAACAGCATTAAAGGATGCATCAGTGAAACACCAGTTGAGTATCCATCAGTGAAACACACATGAAGTATGCATCACTAAAACACCTGGGAAGTTTGCATCACTAAAACACCTGGGAAGTATGCATCAGTGAAACACCTGTAAAGTATGGATCAGTGAAACACATGTGAAATATACATCGGTGAAACACACTGAAGTTTGCATCCCTAAACCACCAGTGAAGTATGCATCGTTTAAACACACATGAAGTATGCATCACTAAAACACCTGGGAAGTATGCATCCCTAAAACACCTGGGAAGTATTCATCAGTGAAACACCTGTAAAGTATGCATCAGTGAAACACATGTGAAATATACATCGGTGAAACACACATGAAGTATGCATCACTAAAACACCAGTGAAGTATGCATCAGTGAAACACCTGTAAAGTATGCAACAGTACAACACCTGTGAAGTATGCATCAGTACAACACCTGTGATGTATGCATCAGTGAAACACCTGTAAAGTATGCATCAGTGAAACACCTGTAAAGTATGCATCAGTGATGCACATGTGAAATATTCATCGGTGAAACACACATGAAGTATGCATCAGTGAAACACCTGTAAAGTATGCATCAGTGAAACACATGTGAAATATACATCGGTGAAACACACATGAAGTATGCATCACTAAAACACCTGGGAAGTATGCATCACTAAAACACCTGGGAAGTATGCATCACTAAAACACCTAGGAAGTATGCATCACTAAAACACCTGGGAAGTATGCATCACTAAAACACCTGGGAAGTATGCATCAGTGAAACACCTGTAAAGTATGCATCAGTGAAACACCTGTAAAGTATGCATCAGTGATACACATGTGAAATATACATCGGTGAAACACACGTGAAGTTTGCATCCCTAAACCACCAGTGAAGTATGCATCGTTTAAACACACATGAAGTATGCATCCCTAAAACACCTGGGAAGTATGCATCAGTGAAACACCTGTAAAGTATGCATCAGTGAAACACCTGTAAAGTATGCATCAGTGATACACATGTGAAATATACATCGGTGAAACACACGTGAAGTTTGCATCCCTAAACCACCAGTGAAGTATGCATCGTTTAAACACACATGAAGTATGCATCCCTAAAACACCTGGGAAGTATGCATCAGTGAAACACCTGGGAAGTATGCATCAGTGAAACACCTGTAAAGTATGCATCAGTGAAACACATGTGAAATATACATCGGTGAAACACACATGAAGTATGCATCACTAAAACACCTGGGAGGTATGCATCACTAAAACACCTGGGAAGTATGCATCAGTGAAACACCTGTAAAGTATGCATCAGTGAAACACCTGTAAAGTATGCATCAGTGAAACACATGTGAAATATCCATCAGTGAAACACACATGAAGTTTGCATCCCTTAACCACCAGTGAAGTATGCATCATTTAAACACACATGAAGTATGGATCACTCAAACACCAGTGAAGTATGCATTAGTACATCTGTTAAGTATGCATCAGTACAACGCCTGTAATGTATGCAATCGGTACAACACCTGTAATGTATGCAATCGGTACAACACCTGCAATGTATGCAATCGGTACAACACCTGTAAAGTATGCATCAGTACAACACCTGTAATGTATGCATCAGTACAACACCTGTAATGTATGCAATCGGTACAACACCTGTAATGTATGCAATCGGTACAACACCTGTAAAGTATGCATCAGTACAACACCTGTAATGTATGCATCAGTACAACACCTGTAATGTATGCAATCGGTACAACACCTGTAATGTATGCAATCGGTACAACACCTGTGATGTATGTACCAGTACAACACCTGTAATGTATGCATCAGTACAATACCCATGAAGTATGCATCATTGAAA